TTCTTCAATTCCTCGCCTCACTTCGCTTTCAATGTAGAACGGACTGAAGAGCTCGCCGTGTCTCTCTTGCGAACTGTTACACGCATGCCTCATACGCCATGTGCCTACCACACGAGGGCCAGACACCCACAACAGTTTCTACACCTTCTTCTCTCTTCTAGAAACTCTTCCTGGGAAACTTAACCATTCCCACCAGATCCCAAATCCCCACCTCCAGCCCTGACCACCCTCCCTTCCTGAATCTCTACCAGAAATGTACTGCTGGTGCCTCCAAAGTATACCCATCAAATCTTGACTCATCTCCCTCAGCCTCACTGTCGCCACTCCCAGCTAACAGCTTCAGCATCAACCTCCCCAGGACTGAGACAAAGGAGGCATGTGTCCCTTACCTCCTCCTGTCACTGGCTGACACTCAAAGGCCAATCTGCCAATAACCTCTGATCTAGCCCTTATTCCTGCCAGCCCACTCCCACCGCTGCTCCCATTCCCTCTCCTTGGACATTTCACAACTGGACCAGCCTCCTTCCCTCTGGGGTCTCCCATCTGCCCAACCCACCCAAACATGCTGCTACTAAAGTCACAAACTATCCCTAAGGGTCAAATCCACCGTCTTGTAAATAAAGTTTTATCGGAACACAACCAACCCATTCCTTTGCATACTGTCTAAAATGCTCTTGCACTAAACTGCTGAGTTAGTTGTTGCCACAGAGACCACAAAGGTCAAAATGTTTGCTAACTGACCTTTCATAGAGGAGCTCTAGTGGCAGGTTGGTTAAGGCACTTGGCTGCTAACCATAAGGTCGGTGGTTTGAACCTACTAACCAACCTGTGGAAGAAAGATGAGGTAGTCTGCTTCCATAACGTTTCATAGCCTTGGAAACCCAATGGGGGTCTCCATGAGTTGGAATCAACTTGATGGCATTGAGTTACTGACCCTTTACAGAAAACGTCTGTCGACCTTGTCCTAGGACATGGTCTGGATTATCAATTGTCTCGGCTCAGCACCATCTGTTCGCCTCCACTTCACAGTGGAAGCCATGTCTTAGAGCCTTCAGATGCAGATGCCCTTCTCTCAGGCC